ATTATATTTAATGAGATACAAGTATCATATACACAGCCAGGTAATAAAATGTTATGATCTTATAAATTATAAAATTTTTGTTTAAAATTGGAGCATATTCTCATTATGCTTTCCAAAGGACATATTGATTTAGAGGTGATTCATTCTTCAGCAGATTCTATAGAAGAAACCATATAAGAGCTAATTTCCAATTCAGCAACAGCATTTTTTACTTCTGTAGTTATTTCTATCCAGTTGTAATTTTTTCTATCCCATCTGGCTGAGTCTTGGTTGAGTAGTTCATGCTGCTGTTTGAAGTGCCTGGTTGTGAGGTAGGGATACTTAAGTTTTTTCTCATGATATATTCTCTGTTGAGAACTACACTATTAGGATTTTCAACACAGCCAGGCGCAGTGGCTCACGCCTGTAATTCCAGCACTTTGGGAGGCCAAGGTGGGCAGATCACAAGGTCAAGAAATCGAGACCATCCTAGTCAACATGGTGAAACCCTGTCTTTACTAAAAATACAAAAAATTAGCTGGGCATGGTGGTGCACACCTGTAGTCCCAGCTACTCGGGGGGCTGAGGCAGGAGGATCACTTGAATCTGGGAGAGGAGGGGAGCGGAGGGAAGGGGAGGCGGCGGGAGGGCAAGGAGCATTTGGTATTAGCCCCTCCAAAGCAGAGAAAGTAACTCAACTGCTCTCCCAATGCCAACCCCCAGCCAGTGTACCCAGGCCTTCAGCACTGCTGCTCACCAGTACATCGGAGGGCTCATCTTGAGGTCGCAGCGCCACATGTAGACTGAGTGACCTTACTGCCTGTGGCTTCTGACCCAGTAAGATGGAGTGGCTTCCTCTGGAGGCTGAGGTGGTCCCATTCTGTGTAGCTGGCTGGGCCCCTGAAGTTTTCCCCATAATTACCCAACCGATCCACACTACAGATGGCTGGACAGAGACAGAACCTGAAACCTGCCACTTTACGTGACTAGAAATCCAAACTATTCTGTGTGTTTTCACACAGAGAAAAGAGAGTCATGGCCAGGGGCGTTGGCTCATGCCTGTAATCCCAGTAGTCTGGGAAGCTGAGGAGGGAGGATCGCTTGAAGCTAGGAATTTTGAGACCAGCCTGGGCAACATAATGAGACCCCATATCTTTTTTTTTTTTTTTTTTTTTTTTTTTTTTGAGACGGAGTTTTGCTCTTGTTACGCAGGCTGGAGTGCAGTGGCGCGATCTCGGCTCACCGCAACCTCCGCCTCCTGGGTTCAGGCAATTCTCCTGCCTCAGCCTCCGAGTAGCTGGGATTATAGGTATATGTCATAACACCTGGCTAACTTTTGCATTTTCAGTAGAGACAGGCTTTCACCATGCTGGCCAGGCTGGCTTCAAACTCCTGACCTCAAGTGATCCACCCGCCTCATCCTCCCAAAGTGCTGGGATTGTAGGTGTGACACCATGCCTAGCTGTTAACCATTATCTTTCTTTCTTTCTTTTCTTTTTTTTTTTTTTTGAGATGGAGTTTCACTCTTGTTACCCAAACTGGAGTGCAATGGCGCGATCTCGGCACACCGCAACCTCTGCCTCCTGGGTTCAGGCAATTCTCCTGCCTCAGCCTCCTGAGTAGCTGGGATTACAGGCATGCACCACTGTGCCGAGCTAATTTTTGTATTTTTAGTAGAGACGGGGGTTTCACCATGTTGACCAGGATGGTCTCGATCTCTTGACCTCGTGATCCACCCACCTCGGCCTCCCAAAATGCTGGGATTACAGGCGTAAGCCACAGCAGCCCGGCCTGCTGTTAACCATTTTCAAGCCTACAGATCAGTAGTATCAACTGTACTAACCTGGGAGTGCAACCAATCTCCAGAAAGTTTTCATCTTGCAAAACTGAAACTCTGTACCCATCGAATAACAGCTCCTCACTTACCCCTCTCCTCCTCAGCTCCTAGCAACTAACATTCCAGTTCGTGATTCTATGAATTGGACAATTTTCCATGAATCATCTGTGTAGGATCACACATTATTTGTCTTTTCGGGACTGGCTTATTTCTGTATAATGTCCTCAATTTCATCCATGTTGTAGCATGTGAGAGGATGTTCTTTTATAAGGCTAATGAATATTACATTGTATGCATATACCTTTTTTTTTTTTTTTTTTTTTTTTTTGAGAAAGGGTCTCACTCCATCACCCAGGCTGGAGTGCAGTGGTGCAATCACAGCTCACTGCAGCCTCGACCTCCTGGGCTCAAGTGATCTACCTGTCTTGGCTGTCCAAAGTGTTGAGATTACGCTTGTAATCCCAGCTACCTGGGAGGCTGAGGCACAAGGTCAGAAGTTCAAGACCAGCCTGGCCACCATGGCGACCTAAAAATAGGTCTTTACTAAAAATACAAAAAAATTAGCCAAGTGTGGTGGCACAAACCTGCAATCCCAGCTACTGAGGAGCCTGACGCAAGAGAATTACTTGTACCCAGGAGGCAGAGGTGCAGTGAGCCGAGATCACACTATTGCACTCCAGCCTGAGCAACAGAGCAAGACTCCGTCTTGGAAAAAAAAAATGAAGAGTGTCTCGGCCAATGACGGTGGCTCACACATGTAATATCAGCACTTGGGAGGCTAAGGCAGGCGGACCATGAGGTTGGGAGTTTGAGACCAACCTGGCCAACATGGTGAAACACCGCCTTTACTAAAAATACAAAAAATTAGCTGGGTGTGGTGGTGAGCACCTGTAATCCCAGCTACTCAGGAGCCTGAGGCAGGAGAATCACTTGAACCTGGGAGGCAGAGGTTGCAGGGAGCCGAGATCATGCCACTGCACTCCAGCCTGAGTGACAGAGCAAGACTCCATCTCAAAATAATAATAATAATGGTGTCTCTTGTAGGCAGCTTATAATTAATTATTTTTGTTTTTTCTTTTTCTTTTTTTTTTGAGACGGAGTTTCGCTCTTGTTACCCAGGCTGGAGTGCAATGGCGCGATCTTGGCTCACCGCAACCTCCGCCTCCTGGGTTGAGGCAATTCTCCTGCCTCAGCCTCCCGAGTAGCTGGGATTACAGGCACGCACCACCATGCCCAGCTAATTTTTTTGTATTTTTAGTAGAGATGGGGTTTCACCATGTTGACCAGGATGGTCTTGATCTTTTGACCTCGTGATCCACCCGCCTTGGCCTCCCAAAGTGCTGGGATTACATTTAAAGTAATGGTTGGCCAGGCATGGTGGCTCACATCTGTAATCCCAGCACTGGGCAATAGAGGGAGACCCTGTCTCAAAAATAAATAAATAAAAATAAAGTAATTGTTGCTCGGTAAGACTTATTATTCCAATTTTAATTGTTTTCTCGCTGTTTTATATATCCTTTGTTCCCTTTTTTTCTTTGAGACGAATTCTCTCTGTCACCCAGATTGGAGTGCAGTGGTGCAGTCTCGGCTCACTGCAACGTCTGCCTCCTGAGTAGCTGGGACTACAGGACGGCACCATCACACTTGGCTAATTTTTTTCTTTTTTTTTGAGATGAAGTCGTGCTTTGTCACCCAGGCTGGAGTGCAATGGCGCGATCTCGTCTCACCGCAACCTCCGCCTCCTGGGCTCAGGCAATTCTCCTTTATAGCTTCTTGTTCCCACAGGAAAATGTGAATCGTTTACTTGTTTTTTGAGACGGAGTTTCATGCTTGTTACCCAGGCTGGAGTGCAATGGCGCGATCTCGGGTCACCGCAACCTCGGCCTCCTGAGTAGCTGGGATTACAGGCACGCACCACCATGTCCAGCTAATTTTTTGTATTTTTAGTAGAGACGGAGTTTCACCATATTGACCAGGATGGTCTCGATCTCTTGACCTCGTGATCAACCCGCCTTGGCTTCCCAAAATGGTGGAATTACAGGCTTGAGCCACCACGCCCGGCCCAACACTCTTTCAAATGGATAGAAAAAAATGAAAACTAAAATGGTTACCAAAAAAAATTTACTAACTGACTTATGAAAAAACATTTTCTATTAAACCTCAAGTACCGGCCGGGTGCAGTGGCTCAAGCCTGTAATCCCAGCACTTTGGGAGGCCGAGGCGGGTGGATCACGAGGTCGAGAGATCGAGACCACCCTGGTCAACATGGTGAAACCCCGTCTCTACTAAAAGTGCAAAAAATTAGCTGGGCATGGTGGCACGTGCCTGTAATCCCAGCTACTCAGGAGGCTGAGGCAGGAGAATTGCCTGAGCCCAGGAGGCGGAGGTTGCGGTGAGCGGAGATCGCGCCATTGCACTCCAGCCTGGGTAACAAGGGCGAAACTCTGTCTCAAAAAAAAAAAAAAGGCAGGGCCTGGTGGCTCTGGGAAGTGGGCAGGGTGGATCATGAGGTCAGGAGTTTGAGACCAGCCTGACCAACATGGTGAAATCACCTCTACTAAAAACACACCAAAAAAAAAAAAAAAAATTAGCTGGGCGTTGGTGGCACATGCCTGTAATCCCAGCTACTCAGGAGGCTGAGCCAGGAGAATCGTTTGAATCCAAGAGGCGGCGGTTGCAGTGAGCCAAAACTCCAGCATGGGCGACAGAGCAAGACTCCATCTCAAAAAAAGAAAAAAAAAAAAATGAGCCATTGATAAACACAGTATGTTTATAACTTTCCATGATAACTCATTCACAATTCATTGAGCATTATACAATAATTTCAGGCTTTCAAAATTACTTGCATTTACAGGATTTCTTCCGAGTGGGAGATTTCACATGATTTAAATTTTTTAGACAGCATCTTGCTGTCACCTAGGCTGGAGTGCAGTGGTACAATCGCCACTCACTGCAACTTCAGCCTCCTAGGCTCAAACAATCCTCCCCTCCCACCTCCTGAGCAGCTGGAACTACCGGCGAGCACCATCATCCCTGGTTAACTTTTGTCATTTCTGTATAGATGGGGTTTCACCGGGTAGCCAGGCTGGTCTCAAGGACCTGAGCTCAAGCAATCCACCCTGCCCCAACATCCCAAAGTGCTGGAATTACAGGCGAGAGCTACTGTGCACAGCCCATGTGATTTTTAATAATTGTTAAAACTGAAAAGTCTCTTGGATTTTCCAAACTGACATTTCCATCCAGGGTGTATTCTTTGATTCATCATCTCCAGCGTGCACTCATATGAGTCTGAATGGGGAAGAGAGCAATGAGTTCGCCAGTGTGAGTCCTTTAATGGCTTTGAATACAACTGGGGTATCTGAGGACTTGACTACATTCTTTGGTTTTTCTTCCAGTGAGTCTTTTCATGTCTTTGGAAGCTAAATGCATTCTCATATTCCTTACATTCATAGGATTTCTCTCCTGTATAAATGGGTTATTTCTCTCTCTCTCTTTTTTTTAATTAAAAAAAAAAAAAAAAAAAAAAGCCAGGCGCGGTGGCTCAAGCCTGTAATCCCAGCACTTTGGGAGGCCAAGGCTGGTGGATCACGAGGTCAAGAGATGGAGACCATCCCGGTCAACATAGTGAAACCCCGTCTCTACTAAAAATACAAAAAATTAGCTGGGCATGGTGGCACGTGCCTGTAATCCCAGCTACTCAGGAGGCTGAGGCAGGAGAATTGCCTGAACCCAGGAGGCGGAGGTTGCGGTGAGCCGAGATCGCGCCATTGCACTCCAGCCTGGGTAACAAGAGCAAAACTCTGTCTCAAAAAACAAAAACAAAAACAAAAACAAAAAAAAAGACGGGTTTCCCCATGTTGGTCAAGCTGGTCTTGAACTCACCACCTCAGGTGATCCGCCCGCCTTGGCCTCCCCAGTGCTTGGATTACAGGCGTGAGCCACCACGCCTGGTCTTTTCTTTTTTTAAGAGATGGGATCTGGCTATGTTGTCCAGGCTGGAATGCAGTGGCTATTCACAGGCGCAATCCCACTACTGATCAGCATCGGAGTTCTGACGTGCTCCACTTCCGACCTGGGCCAGTTAACCCCTCCTTAGGCAACCTGGTGGTCCCTCGCTCCCGGAAGGTCACCATATTGATGCTGAACTTAGTGTGGACACCTGATCAGCATAGCGCACTGCAGCCCAGAACTCCTGGGCTCAAGCGATTCTCCCACCTCAGCCTCCCGAGTACCTGGGACTACAGGCATATGCCCCCGCGCCCGGCTCTCTCTCTCTCTCTCTTTTTTTTTTTTTTTTTTTTTTTTTAGACAAGAAAATCTTACTCTGTCACCCAGACTGGAGTATAGTGTCGCCATCTCAGCTCACTGCAGCCTCAACCTCCCAGGCTCATGCAATCCTCCTGCCTCAAGTCTTCTGACTAGCTGGAATTACAGGCGTACATCATCCCACCCAGTTAATTTTTTTTTGTTTTTTTTTTTGAGATATGGGTCCTTCTCATGTTGCCCAGACTGGTCTGAAACTCCTGGGCTCAGGTGATTCCCGTGCTTCAGCCTGCTAAAGGGCCGGCTACACCCGGCCAAATGAGTTCTTTCATGAGTTCTAAGGTATTTTGAACAAGTGAAGGCTTTACCACACTGTTTACAGTCAAAGGGTTTTTCTCCAGTGTGGGTCATTTCATGTGTCCGTAGGGAGCTGCGCCACCCAAAGGCTCTACCACACCTTTTACATTCATACGGCTTTTCTCCACTATGCGTTTTCTCATGTCTTCGAAAACAACTGGGATAATTGAAGGTTTTACCACATTTATTACATTCATAAGGTCTCTCTCCAGTGTGAGCTCGTTCATGTGCTTGAAGGGACGAGGGACATCTGAAGACTTTGCCACATTTTTGACATCCGTAGAGTTTCCCTCCATTATGAGATTTTTCGTGTCTGCGAAGGGAGTTGGCGCAGCTGAGTATCTTCCCGCATTCCTGACACCGGTGTGATTTCTCCAGCGCGTGAGTTCTGCCTTCATGTGTATGAAGGTAAGTGGCAGAAATGAAGCCCTTACCACATTGTTTACATTTGTAAGGTTTTTCTCCCGTGTGAGTTCTAACATGAATTTGAAATGAACTGGGATAATCGAAAGGTTTTCCGCAGTATTTACATTCATAGCGTTTTTCTCCCGTGTGCATTTTTCCATGTTTTCGAAAGAAACTGGAAACGGTGAAGGCTCTCACGATTTCCCTACATTTATAGCGCCTCTTTCCAGTGTGAGCTTGTTGATGGATTTGAAATAAATTGGGAGAACGAAAGCCTTTCCCGCACACCCTGCATTCATAAGGTCTCTTTGGAGTTGGTGTTAATGTGTGCCGTGGACCACTCCTGGGAGAAATGGAGGCTTTCCCACGCTGCTTGTGTTTACCGGGCTTCTCTCCCCATTCCCTACCACACTCGTTTCGTTTCTGTCCGGCGTGAGCTCTCACGTGCCTGTCCAGGAATGAATGACAGAGGAAGACTTTCTCACACATGCTGCATTTGCATGGTTTCACTCCAGTACGACTTTTCTTGTTCAGGTGACAATCTGGAATCTGGCTGAAGGTTTCTCTGTGGTCACTCCCTTCTTTACGTCCACAGAGTCTCTTCACCAGACTTCTATGAGAAATGACAAGCGCGTTATCAATGCTTGGTTTATTAATGCTTTTCTATTAATTGGTATGTTGTCTTAAGCCATATGCTGCTACCAAAATCAGAAAAGTGGAGGTTTTCTGCTGGGTCAGAGTTATTTGAAAGGAAGTGTATTGATGATTCTGCTACCCAGCTCCCCATAGCTATTATCCAAACAGTGACTTCCATGTCACAGATTCTTACTATCCTGTTCAGACACCCAATATCTATATTACACTGAAAGACGGATTTTTAGTGAAAATCTTCTAATAATCAGTTAAAAACATAAGTTTGAGCCAGGCGCAGTGGCTCATGCCTGTAATCCCAGCACTTTGGGAGGCCGAGGTGGGCGGATCACGAGGTCAAGAGATGGAGAACATCCTGGCCAACATGGTGAAACCCCGTCTTTACTAAAAAAAATACAAAAATTAGCTGGTCGTGGTGGTGCACGCCGGTAGTCCCAGCTATTTGAGAGGCTGAGGCAGGAGAATTGCTTGAACCCGGGAGGTGGAGATTGCAGTGAGCCAAGATCGCACCACTGCACTCCAGCCTGGCGCCTGGCGACAGAGTAAGACTATGTCTCAGCCGGGCATGGTGGCTCATGCCTGTAATCCAAGCACTTTGGAGGCCAAGGCGGGCGGATCACCTGAGGTCGGGAGTTCAAGACCAGCCTGACCAACATGGTGAAACCCTGTCTTTAAAAAAATAAAAAATAAAATTAGCTGGGCATGGCGGCACGTGCCTGTAATCCCAGCTACTCAGGAGGCTGAGGCAGGAGAATTCCCTGAACCCAGGAGGAGGAGGTTGCGGTGAGCCGAGATCGCGCCATTGCACTCCAGCCTGGGTAACAAGAGCGAAACTCCGTCTCACAAAAAATAAAAAAATAAAAAAAATAAAAAATAAAAAATAAAAAAAGACTGTCTCAAAAACAAAACAAAACAAAACATAAGGTTGTATTTATTTGTCTTGTTTCTTTTTAAAATTTTCCTGATAAGCTAAGATTCCCTCAAGAGACACTGCTTCCTCTTGGGAGTGCAAATTACCTTGGCTTAATCCCCAGATTTTGGTACAGATCTTCAATGTCCTGGTCTTTCCAATGGATTCCTAAAATGTAGACCCAGAGAAATCATTATGAATTATTTAAAATTACAGAAAAATAACTAGGTTCTAAGTTAATTAAACACTGCCACCATGCCTGATTTTGTTTTTTGGGTTTTTTTTTCGGGGGGGAGTCAGTCTCACTCTGTCACCCAGGCTGGAGTGCAGTGACATGATCTCTGCTCACTTGCAGCCTCTGCCTCCTGAGTTCTAGCAATTCTCCTGCCTCGCCTCCAGAGTAGCTGGGATTACAAGCACATGCCACCACATCCAGCTAATTGTGTATTTTTAGTAGAGATGGGGTTTAACCATGTTGGTCAGGCTGGTCTCAAACTCTTGACCTCAGGTGATCCACTGGCCTTGGCTTCCCAAAGTGCTGAAATTACAGATGTGAGCCACTGCACCTGGCCTTCTTTTTATTTTTATTTTTTTATTCTTTTTTTGAGATGGTGGAATCTTGCTCTGTCGCCTAGGATGGAGTGCAGTGATGCGATCTCAGCTCACTGCAACCTCCACCTCCCAGGTTCAAGCAATTCTCCTACCTCAGTTTCCTGAGTAGCTGGGACTACAGGCACACGTCACCACACGCAGCTAATATTTGTATTTTTAGTAGACACAGGGTTTTACCATGTTGACCTTGTGATCTACCTGCCTTGGGCTCCCAAAGTGCTGGGATTACAGGTGTGAGCCACCATGCTTGGCCTTTTTTTTTTTTTAAAAAAAGAGACAGGGTCTCATCATGTTGCCCAGGCTGATCTCAAACTCCTGGACTCAAGCAATCCTTCCCAAAGCACTAGGATTACAGGGGTGAGCCAACTGTACCTGGCCCACGATGCCCCATTTATTCAGCAATGTATTCTCTTTCCACATTCCAAATTGTGCAACCGGGCTGGTGACCAAAGCGCACTTGTCTTCTAATTGACTAAGGAAGGAAATGTTGTCCTTCTTACCCACAGAGGCCAGGTTCCCGAAGGTTTCCAGCATCACATCTCTGTAGAGCTGCTTCTGGGAAGGACTCAGCAAAGCCCACTCCTCCTGGTTGAAGTTCACAGCCACATCCTCAAAGGCCACTGATTCCTGAAATATCCCACAAGTGTGGAGGAGGAGGGATGATATTGGGCACTGGGGATCTCTACTCAATACACGAGTGGTCTTATGACGCCAGCTCTCCACTCACTCACTCCAAGACTGAGTCACACCCGCCTCCTCTCTATCCATACACACTTCCTCCCTCACAGCACTTCCGGTGTTAGAACTGACCTACTCAGAGAGGCAGCCACAGAAGGGAACACCCTCTCCATGGTGGGTCCAGGGAGGCAGTCGTGCTGCTGCGTTACCCTGAATGCTCATTGCAGAGTGGCTCCCTAGGACCTGTCACCACAAACTCCCACAACTTGGTGTGCAGACAGCACTCATTTTAGTAGTCCTGGGGCTGGGAATCCTTAGAAAGGCCTGTTCACCAAGTTTGACCTTTGCTATTATCAGGGAACTTAGACTACAGAGGGATTCCATCAACCGAAGTGACAGAGTGGCTGGCTGTAGCTAAATGGTTTATCGCAGTGACAAACAGGATGGTATTGACTGAAATGTTTTCCTTCTGAAAGCCGATTCTTTTGTTCACTACCACAAGCAGTGCCTAGGGGACCAGCCCCTAAAAAGCACTCCAGGCACTGAGCTCATCCCATGTATTTATACCAAGAGAGAACACCTGGAAGCTTGCAAGCGGTAAAATTTACTCTCGACCAAATGTAATCACGTAGTAAATAAGACTCATCATCAATATTTAATCATCCTAATGGAAGAATTTTTTTTTTTTTTTAACAAGAGCGAGGCCGGGCGCGGTGGCTCAAGCCTGTAATCCCAGCACTTTGGGAGGCCGAGGCGGGTGGATCACGAGGTCGAGAGATCGAGACCATCCTGGTCAACATGGTGAAACCCCGTCTCTACTAAAAATACAAAAAAGTAGCTGGGCATGGTGGCACATGCCTGTAATCCGAGCTACTCAGGAGGCTGAGGCAGGAGAATTGCCTGAACCCAGGAGACGGAAGTTGCGGTGAGCTGAGATTGTGCCATTGCACTCCAGCCTGGGTAGCAAGAGCAAAACTCTGTCTCAAAAAAAAAAAAAAAGAAAAAAACAAGAGCGAGACAGAGTTCGCTCTTGTTACCCAGGCTAGAGTGCAATGGCGCGATCTCAGCTCACCGCAACCTCCGCTTCCTGGGCTCAGGCAATTCTCCTGCCTCAGCCTCCTAAGTAGCTGGGATTACAGGCACGCGCCACCATGCCCAGCTAATTTTTTGTATTTTCAGTAGAGATGGGGTTTCACCATGTTGACCAGGATGGTCTCGATCTCTTGACCTCGTGATTCACCCACCTTGGCCTCCCAAAGTGCTGGGATTACAGGCTTGAGTCACCGCACCCGGCCAATGGAAGAATTTTTTAATTTCTTTCTTTTTTTTTTGTAGATTTTTCTTTTTTTTTTTTTTTTTTGAGACGGAGTTTCGCTCTTGTTACCCAGGCTGGAGTGCAATGGCGCGATCTCGGCTCACTGCAACCCCCGCCTTCTGGGTTCAGGCAATTCTCCTGCCTCAGCCTCCTGAGTAGCTGGGATTACAGGCACGCGCCACCATGCCCAGCTGATTTTTTATATTTTTAGTAGAGACGGGGTTTCACCATGTTGACCAGGATGGTCTCGATCTCTTGACCTCGTGATCCACCCGCCTCGGCCTCCCAAAGTGCTGGGATTATAGGCGTGAGCCACCGCACCCAGTGAGTTTTTAAATTTCTATCAGGTAATGTCAAAGTACAGTGGAGTAAGTGGAGAGATGACACATCTTCCAAGAAAAAACTCAATGTCTTTAAGATGTCACTTCTTCCAAATGGTATCTTTATAAAATTCCAGAAACACCAATACAGCCAAGCGCAGTGACTCACACCTGTAATCCCAGCACTTCTGGAGGCCAAGGGGGGTGCATCACTTAAGAACAGGCATTCCCCGGGCGTGGTGGGTCACACCTGTAATCCCAGCACTTTGGGAGGCAGAGGCAAGTGGATCACTTGAGGTCAAGAGTTCAAGACCAGCCTGGCCAACATGGTGAAACCCTGTCTCTACTAAAAATACAAACATTAGCCGGGTGTGGTGGTGGGTCCCTGTAATCACAGCTGAGGCAGGAGAATCGCTTGAACCAGTGAGCAGAGATGACATCACTGCACTCCCGCCTGGGCAAGAAGAGCAAAACTCTGTCTCTAAATAAATAAATGTAGAACTAACATTCAATCCAGCAATCCCACCAATGGGTATCTACTGAAATAGAAAGAAAAAAGAAATCATCATATAAAAAAGACACATGAGGCTGTTTGTGGTGGCTCACACCTATAATCCCAGCACTTTGGGAGGCTGAGGTGGGTGGATCACTTGAGGTCAGGAGTTAGAGACTAGCCTGGCCAACATGGTCAAAGCCTGTCTCCACTAAAAAACACAAAAATTTGCTGGGCGTGGTGGCACGCATCTGTAATCTCAGCTACTCAGGAGGCTGAGGTAGGAGAATTGCCTGAACGAAGGAGGCCAAGGTTGCAGTGAGCTGAGATCATGCCACTGCACTTCAGCCTGGGCTACAGAGGGTGACTTGGTCTCAGAAAAAAGCAAGACACATGCACTCAACACTATTCACAATACCAGAAATAACAACAAATGTCCGTCAACCGGTATCCATCAACAAATGAATAGATAAAGAAAATGTGGCATATATACATGATGAAATACTACTATTCAAACATAAAAAATACTTAAGTAGTATCTTATCAGCAACTTGGGTAGAAATGGATGCCATTATCTTTTTTTGGTGGTGAGGGAGACAGGGTCACACTCTGTCACCCGGGCTGGAGGGCAGTGGCACAATCTGGGCTCACTGCAACCTCCACCTCCCAGGTTCAAGCGATTCTCGTGCCTCAGCCTCCCAAGCAGTGGGATTACAGGCACCTGCCACCACACCCGGCTAATTTTTGCATTTTTAGTAAAGATGGGGTTTCACCATGTTGACCAGGATGGTCTCAATCTCTTGACCTCGTGATCCACCCGCCTCGGCCTCCCAAAGTGCTGGGATTAAAGGCTTGAGCCACCGCGCCCAGCCTCTTTTGTTTTATTACTATTTTGAAACAAAGTCTTGCTCTGTTGCCCAGGCTGGAGTGCAGTGGCGAGATCTCAGCTCACCGCAACCTCTGCCTTGTGAGTTCAAGAGATTCTCCTGCCTCAGCCTCCCCAGTAGCAGGGATTACAGGAACATGCCACCACGCCCAGCTAATTTTTTATTTTTAGTAGAGGCAGGGTTTCACCATGTTGGCCAGTCCGGTCTTGAACTTCTAACCTCAGGTGATCCACCTGCCTTGGCCTCCCGAAGTGCTGGGGGTACAAGTGTGAGCCACTGCGCCGGAGCCACAAGGTCCATTCTTTTGCCAGTGAGAAATTAGCCACAAAAAAATGTCAAAGAGATGACATTTCATATTGATAGGGGCAAAAATTACTCTACTGAGAGTCCCAGGTAATGGTGACCACATCAAACAAAGTTATACAGAGATGAAGGATTCCAGGATATGCTCAACTGCTATGCCCTAGCACCATTATTTAAAGCCCAGTAATTCTGTCTCATGTCCAGAGTCTTTAGGATGCATTTGCACTTGGGGACTGATGACAATAGCGGTATTTTTCCCAAGCAAAATGAAACTTGAAAAAAAACCCAAGCCGGGCGCGGTGGCTCAAGCCTGTAATCCCAGCACTTTGGGAGGCTGAGGCGGGTGGATCACGAGGTCGAGAGATCGAGACCATCCTGGTCAACATGGTGAAACCCCGTCTCTACTAAAGATACAAAAAATTAGCTGGGCATGGTGGCACGTGCCTGTAATCCCAGCTACTCAGGAGGCTGAGGCAGGAGAATTGCCTGAGCCCAGGAGGCGGAGGTTGCGGTGAGCCGAGATCACGCCATTGCACTCCAGCCTGGGTAACAAGAGCGAAACTCCGTCTCAAAAAAAAAAAAAAAAAAAAACCCAGAAACTTAGAGCCACCAGAATGAATGAGTGAACTGGACAGCCCACAGCTGGAGACATGAGCACGTGTGAAATGTGCCTAGGCAAAGATACCACCAGAACACCCTTGAATTTTAACTCCATCAGTACTCATTTATCAAAGTTCAAAGAAGGCAAAGCTAAAAAACAATGGGTCATGAAAAATAACACATGGGGCCAGGCGTGGTGACTCACATCTGTAATCCTAGCACTTTGAGAAGTCAAGGGGGAGGGGTGGATCACTAGAGGTCAGGAGTTCAAGACCAATCTGGGTAACATGGTAAAACCCATCTCTACTAAAAATACCAAAATTAAAAAAAAAATGTGCCAGGTATGCTGCAGGGTGCCTGTAATCCCAGCTACTCAGGAGGCTGAGGCAGAAGAATTGCTTGATTTCAGGAGGTGGAGGCTGCAGTGAGCCAAGATTGCATCACTGCACTTCAGCCCTAGGTAAGAGTGAGACTCCATCTGAAAAACAAAAAACAGCTGGGCGCGGTGGCTCACGCCTGTAATCCCAGCACTTTGGGAGGCGGGTGGATCACGAGGTCAAGAGATCAAGACCATCCTGGTCAACATAGTGAAACCCCGTCTCTACTAAAAATACAAAAAATTAGCTGGGCGTGGTGGCGTGTGCCTGTAATCCCAGCTACTCAGGAGGCTGAGGCAGGAGAATTGCTGGAACCCAGGAGGCGGAGGTTGCGGTGAGCCGAGATCACGCCATTGCACTCCAGCCTGGGTAATGAGTGAAACTCTTGTCGCAAAACAAACAAACAAACAAACAAATAGTAGAAACATGAAAAACAGCCAAAGAATCAGGGCAGTCATCACCAAAGAGGAAAGACAGAGATGAGTCTGGGAGGGGACCATCAGGAACTTAACCTGAAGCCCAGGACCCAGTCAGCCACCTCAATGATGATTCCAGAGATGCAGTCATTAGCACTACAACTTATGACAAATATTTCCTTCATCCTTCTGTGAATATAGTTTATAATGAATTTTTCTTTTGGGTTTTTTCTTTTTCTTTTTTTTCTTTGAGATGGAGTCTCACTCTCTCACCCAGGCTGGAGCGCAGTGCAGTGATCCTGGCTCACTGCAACCTCTGCCTTCCAAGTTCAAGTAATTCTCCTGTCTCATAATCCTAAGCAACTGGGACTAAAGGTACATACCACCACACCTGGCTAATTTTTAATTTTTTTTTTTTTTTTTTTTTTTTGGTAAAACAGGGTTTCACCATATTGGTCAAGCTGGTTTCGAACTCCTGACCTCAGGTGATCTACCCACCTCAGCCTCCCTAAGTGCTGGGATTCCAGGCACGAGCCCCTGCACCCAGTTAGGGCAGCTGCTCTTATCGGTGCTGCTGCAGGCTCTCTCCCTATACAAGCCTCTTTTGAGTATCTCTAAGAAGAGAGGAGAGTGTGCTTTCTGAGGCCCACTGTGCATCTGCATGTTACAAGGAGGCTTCTTTGTGTGTTAGAGCTTGCCTTCCTTACCTGTGTTTGCAGCCTGATCTGTCAGGCTGCACTTTGCTAAAAGAGAATTGACCTCAGCTGGGCGCAGTGGCTCACGCCTGGAATCCCAGCAGTTTGGGAGGCCAAGGTGGGTGGATCACAAGGTCACAAGTTTGAGACCAGCCTGGTCAACACAGTAAAACCCCATCTCACCGGGCACGGTGGCTCAAGCCTGTAATCCCAGCACTTTGGGAGGCCGAGGCGGGTGGATCACAAGGTCGAGAGATCGAGACCATCCTGGTCAACATGGTGAAACCCCGTCTCTACTAAAAATACAAAAAATTAGCTGGGCATGGTGGCGCGTGCCTGTAATCCCAGCTACTCAGGAGGCTGAGGAAGGAGAATTGCTTGAGCCCAGGAAGCGGAGGTTGCGGTGAGCCGAGATCGTGCCACTGCACTCCAGCTTGGGTAACAAGAGCAAAACTCCGTCTCCAAAAAGAAAAACAAAAAAACCCATCTCTACCAAAAATAGAAACAATTAGCCGGGTGTGGTGGCACACACCTGTAGTCAAAGCTATCCAGGAGCAGGAGGCTGAGGCTGCAGTGAGCCAAGATAGCACCACTGCACTCTAGCCTGGGCAACAGAGCAAGGTTCCATCTCAAATATATGTGTTTGCATATATATATATATATATATATATATATATATATGAACGGGGTGTGGTAGCATGTGCCTGTGGACCCTGCTTCTTGGGAGGCTTAGGTGGGAGGATCACTTGGGCCCCAAGGGTTGAGACTGCAGTGGGTCATGAGTAGTCACTGCCCTCTAGCCTGAGTGAAAATGAAGCTGCTTCAGAAGGAAGAATTTTCTTTCCATTGGTTTTTTTTTTTTTTTTTTTTTTTAGACGGAGTTTCGCTCTTGTTACGCAGGCTGGAGTGCAATGGCACGACCTCGGCTCACCGCAACCTCCGCCTCCTGGGCTCAGGCAATTCTCCTGCCTCAGCCTCCTGAGTAGCTGGGATTACAGGCATGCGCCACCATGCCCAGCTAATTTTTTGCACTATTAGTAGAGACGGGGTTTCACCATGTTGACCAGGATGGTCTCGATCTCTCGACCTCATGATCCACCCGCCTCGGCCTCCCAAAGTGCTGGGATTACAGGCTTGAGCCACTGCGCCCGGCTCTTTCCATTGTTTTTTCCCCACCCCATGGCCTGCAGAGATTCCCTGTGGAATTTCCTAAGGAACTAAGAAAACGACTTCCTACTTTCAGACAAGAACTCCTCCCTGGAAGCTCATCAAATGACCATAAAAGATTAACCAGGCCAGGAAAGACTTTTCACCCATTCTTCCGAGGGCAGCTGGGAGAAATCCCTGGGCAGTTTCGAAACCCAGGAACAGAAGAATAGGAGGGTGGGCTGACAATCCAACATCCTAGGAAGTTTCACATGTGAAATGTTCACAAAGAGAAAACAAACCTTTCACAAAATGGCAATCTAGGGCTCAGTAGAAAAGGTAACAATTAAAACACTGTGTCTGTTTGAAATGTAGCATGGGGAGCAAACAGTTAATGTGAAATGACTGGGCGAGGTGGCTCCCACCTGTAATCCCAGCACTTTGAGAGGCTGAGGCAGGAGGATCACCTGAGGTCAGGAGTTCGAGGCCAGCCTGGCCAGCATGGTAAAACCTCGGCTCTACTAAAAATACAAAAATTGACCGGGCGCAGTGGCTCAAGCCTGTAATCCCAGCACTTTGGGAGGCCGAGGTGGGTGGATCACAAGGTCGAGAGATGGAGACCAACCTGGTCAACATGGTGAAACTCCGTCTCTACTAAAAATACAAAAAATTAGCTGGGCATGGTGGTGCGTGCCTATAATCCCAGCTACTCGGGAGGCTGAGGCAGGGGAATTCCCTGAACCCAGGAGGCGGAGGTTGCGGTGAGCCGAGATCTCGCCATTGCACTCCAGCCTGGTTAACAAGAGCAAAACTCCATCTCAAAAAAAAAAAAATAATAATAATGATAATAATAATAATCATATGAAGTAGAGAGGGGAGGCCGGGGTTGGCGAATGCGGGGAGAGAACTGGAAATTTAGGGATTTACTGTGTGACATGGTAAAAAGCCCCATAAACCTGCATACCTCAACCATACATCAGCTTTCTGTTGAAACTGCTCTCTATAACCCCAATGGGATTGTAATCGCCACCTCACCCAATGAGTAAACAAATGCTAATCTTGACTTTTGTGAACCACTTAAGTAACAATCAGAATATCAAGAAGTCCCCGGGCCTGAATGTCGGAATGTCTGGAACCCCCACCCTAATCTCCGCCTAGAAGGTGATTTACAGAATCCACTAGCCCTCGGAATGTCTGAAGCCCCTCACCCGCACCCCCACCCCTCACCCTCACTTCCAAGGTGATTTTTACGGGTATAAAAGGTCTTGACACCCTCCTTTCGGGGCCACGGGTTGGAGAGTCCTCCGTGGCCGCCGGCAATAAAGACCCTGCAATTTGGCACACTTTCTTCTTGTTAACTTTCTTTTTTTTTTTTTTTTTTTTTTTTTTGAGACGGAGTTTCACTGTTGCTACCCAGGCTGGAGTGCAATGGCGCGATCTCGGCTCACCTCAACCTCCGCCTCCTGGGTTCAAGCAATTCTCCTGCCTCAGCCTCCTGAGTAGCTGGGATTACAGGCACGCGCCACCATGCCCAGCTAATTTTTTGTATTTTTTTTTTTTTTTTTTTTTTTTTTTTTTTTTTTTTGAGACGGAGTTTCGCTCTTGTTACCCAGGCTGGAGTGCAATGGCGCGATCTCGGCTCACCGCAACCTCCGCCTCCTGGGCTCAGGCAATTCTCCTGCCTCAGCCTCCTGAGTAGCTGGGATCACAGGCACGCGCCACCATGCCCAGCTAATGTTTTGTATTTTTAGTAGAGACGGGGTTTCACCATGTTGACCAGGATGGTCTCGATCTCTCGACCTCGTGATCCACCCGCCTCGGCCTCCCAAAGTGCTGGGATTACAGGCTTGAGCCACCGCGCCCGGCCAATTTTTTGTATTTTTAGTAGAGACGGGGTTTCACCATGTTGAGCAGGATGGTCTCGATCTCTCGACCTCGTGATCCACCCGTCTCAGCCTCCCAAAGTGCTGGGATTACAGGCTTGAGCCACCGCGCCCGGCTCCTCTTGTTAACTTTCTATGTTCACTCCACTACAACTGCAGCCCTAGGAGGAGCAAGGCTGGGAGATGGGGTCGCGGGTTTGAGACCCAGCCGGCTCTTCCCACACCTTAGGAAGACTCAGAGGGAAGCGGCGGCCGCTTAACGGAGAAAGGAGGAACTGGGGACCCCACAGGCCATGGCTCCTCCCGCCCGCATCGCATACCCGAGGCGGGATGCCGCCATGACTCTCCCGTGCCCCCAGCACAATGTGGGGAGACGCGGGGCTGCGGACGCGCAGTTGCCCTGAGAGGGCGCCGGAGCCGGGGCTGCAGTCGCGGGCAGGGACGTGACAGGACGCTCGGGGTCCCGGCTGCCGGTCCAGCCCCATCCTGAGGCCGAGGGGACCGAGGGTCAAGCTGCGCCAGGGGGATTCGGGTCCCATCACAGCCGGTTGCGACCAGCCCCTCCTCAGGTCTCCGGACGTCCGGGCTCCGCAGGCTCACCATTTCTGGTTTCCGGATGTCTTGGGTCCTCCCTGGGGCTCCAGCAGCCAGAGTCGGTTCCACGCGACAGAAGCTGCCTTATCCGAGAACTTGAGGCCTCCCGCACCAACTAAAACCCGGACTCAAGCTGGGCCCTGGCGAAAAGAGTCCATTTAGGGATTTGGAAATTACCCCTCCTCTCGGCGCACCTGATTGGATAGTTCGCGCCACGCCGACTCTGATTGGATGATGCCCCACGGCCCCTCCCTCCCCGGGGCTTGAGCGACAGAAGTGATCCGAATTCTGGCTGTATGGGGTTTGAGTGACAGGTGCCACCCGCAGCCTCTCGCAACGAGGCTTTCTCTGGGACCTTAGACGTTGACTTGCGTGGAAGCAGAACTGGCTCTCGGCTTTCCAGAGTCGGCACTGTCGGCTTCCTGTACTCCGTGGGTCCTCCCTGCTCTTTTTCCGGAACACCGGTCACACGAGTGTGCATGAAATTCCAGACTCCAGGCCAGGCGCAGTGGCTCACGCCTGTAATCCTACCACTTTGGAAGGCCGAGGTGGGTGGATTGCCTGAGCTCAGGAGTTCAAGAGCAGCCTGGGCAACATGGCAAAACCCCATCTTTTTTTTTAAAAAAAAGGAAAGGGCCGGGCACGGTGGCTCAAGACTGTAATCCCAGCACTTTGGGAGGCCGAGGCGGGTGGATCACGAGGTCGAGAGATCGAGACCATCCTGGTCAACATGGTGAAACCCCGTCTCTACTAAAAATACAAAAAACTAGCTGGGTGTGGTGTCGCGTGCCTGTAATCCCAGCTACGCAGGAGGCTGAGGCAGGAGAATTGCTGGAACCCAGGAGGTGGAGGTTGCGGTGAGCCGAGATCGCACCATTGCACTCCAGCCTGGGTAACAAGAGGGAAACTCCGTCTCAAAAAAAAAAAAAAAAGAAAAGAAAAGAAAAAGAAAGAAAAGAAAAGAAATTCCAGACTCCGTGTTCAATAAAGCCCTTCCCTTGCGTTGGAGCTGGGGAGACTCCCAAGTCACATTGGAACAGGCAAGAGGGCCTGATACCCTCCACAGAGCAGGAATTTGGGATGAGGCTGTTGGTCCCGTGGCCAAGGCTTCCTACTCCTTACTTCTCAGGCTACTCGTTTTCAGCCAAGAAAATAAAAACATGCCTGAATGTGGGGAACACTCCCGTGTGAGACCCCTAAAAGGCGTGAGTCTCACTATACGGTGAGTTTGATCCCAAACACAGTTTCCTACTGGAGGCAGTCGAGCTATCCGGAAATATAGGAAGAAAGATGAATGATCAGTTTCTAATATCAACCACAATATCGTTTGGGCCTAAAACTATGCGTTGCTGCTAGTCCGAGTAACCCCCTACCAGCAACCAGTTCCTGCTATGACCTTTTTATGACTTTAAGAATAAGTTTTAACCTTTACTTACCTAACTGCCTTGTACCCTAGATAATGGTTTAACTGTCGATATTTGCAAAGCAAAATACCGCCATAAGGGATGGCTTTGATTCCTGACTCAGAGATTCCTGAATGGGGAAGTTGAGTTGAGTTAGGAGTAGACAAAGGAGAATCCAGTTAAGAGATATTCTGATGAGCAAAACCAGAAAACCTTTTCACATCTCAGTTCTAAAACAAGATCAAACCGGAGATACCTGCAGCCAGGAGGAATAATGTCTGGATGCAAACAAGCTTTGTGATTACAGGAAATTCTGTTACTTTTTACAACCACTGATTGCATATCTGACTTCTCTATTGTATAGGCCATGTAAGGTATACATTTGCATTTCCTCTTGCAACCATTGTGTATCTGATTTCTCTCTTGTATAGGCCATGTAAGGTATACATTTGCATTTCCTCTTACTATGATGTAGACCAAAGCCAAGAAAGTGTATTTATTCCTGGCCTTTGAAAAATAAAATTTGCTGTTTAGGCACAGCCTATCAGCCCTCCAGACGCCTCGCTTTCTCTCTCTCTGTCTTTATTATTTTCTCAGGCGCACTCCCTCTTCTAGGTATTGGGACCCTCTTGCAGGTCGAGAGACCCCCGGGCAGACGTGCCTACCCGTCCGGACGGTCCACGACATCTGGCGACCACGACACGGGGCCTGGACACGAGGGATTACAGTGACGCACATCAATTAAGGAGTGAGGCTGCAGCAGTTAAGTTTTTGAGTTTTTTTCTTTTTTTTTCTTTTTTTCTTTTTTCTTTTTTTTTTTTTTTTGAGACGGAGTTTCGCTCTTGTTACCCAGGCTGGAGTGCAATGGCGCGATCTCGGCTCACCGCGACCTCCGCCTCCTGGGTTCAGCCAATTCTCCTGCCTCAGCCTCCTGAGTAGCTGGGATTACAGGCACGCGCCACCATGCCCAGCTAATTTTTTGCACTTTTAGTAGAGACGGGGTTTCACCATGTTGACCAGGATGGTCTTGATCTCTCGACCTCGTGATCCACCCGCCTCGGCCTCCCAAAGTGCTGGGATTACAGGCTTGAGCCACCGCGCCCGGCCTCAGTTTTAAACTGACATTTTTTTTTCCTTTCTCTGCAGACTGCAAGCCCCACCCGCTCAGCTCTCAGGCAAGCTACACCGCCTCAGGTGGCCAAATTTGCATCCAAAATACAATTTAAGGAAAGCTTTCTAACTTTTTGTAAAGCAAGTGACTTGTTAGCTCATTAAAGTGTGAGGCCTGCAACTATAAGGTTGTTGGTTCAAGTCCTCAGTAAATCTAGTTTTTTAGAAAAATTAAAGTTATTGTTTGAGCACCTCGTGGAATATTAACTCTAACTCCTGATAAGCCTATAGCGCAGCTTCTTGTCATTGTTGGGTAGAAATAGCCCATCCCTCATATCCAGGATCCCACATCCAGCAGGCCGCCTCTGGAGGTTGGTCTGCCCAGCAACAGGACTAGCCAATCGCTTTCCCGCGTCACCCCGCCAAAACCCGTACACGCCCCGACAGCAGCCCGCCAAAACCTAGCCACTCCCCTCTGGCCACAAGGCTCTTCCCTCTTCTTTGTTTAACCTTCACCAACCATCTCCCACACCAGCCCGCCAAAGCTACGCCAACCCTTGCACGCCACGATATTCCCCCTCCACCCATGTCCAACCGCCACCAATCACTCCGCAACACCTCGCCTAAACAGGCCGCCGCCCCTATAAAAACCCTCTCCGGTGGGCCGGGCGCGGTGGCTCAAGCCTGTAATCCCAGCACTTTGGGAGGCCGAGGCGGGTGGATCACGAGGTCGAGAGTTCGAGACCATCCTGGTCAATGTGGTGAAACCCCGTCTCTACTAAAAATACAAAAAATTAGCTGGGCATGGTGGCGCGTGCCTGTAGTCCCAGCTATTCAGGAGGCTGAGGCAGGAGAATTGCTTGAACCCAGGAGGCGGAGGTTGCGGTGAGCCGAGATCGCGCCATTGCACTCCAGCCTGGGTAACAAGAGCGACACTCTGTCTCAAAAAAAAAAAAAAAAAAAACCCTCTCCGGCAACTGCTGGGTGCAGCTCTTCCCTCTCCCGCTCGAGTTGCCCGCAAACCCCAATAAACCTGGACTCGGCTTAACAACTCCTCGCTCTCATTTGCTTTGGGAAGGGTCTCTGCGGGTCGCACAGTCATACCTGTGAATACCTCTATAGGGAAACCCCTTTCCACTGAGACTCGAGGTTGCTCCGCTTTTGGATCCTCAAATCACGCTTATTGGGTGCAGTCTATTACTGACTCGCCCTGAATTGACTATATGGATTGCTAGCAAGCCTTTTAAGGGTCTGCTAGATACTAGAGTTGATATTTCTGTTATTTCATCTAATCACTGGCCTTTACAGTGGCCTTCCTCCCCTTCTCTGACTTCTTTACAAGGAATTGGAATGAGTAATAATCCTGAACAATCTACTAATTTATTAAAGTGGACTGATGCTTAGGGACATGAGGGATATTTTCATCCTTATATCCTTCCAGGACTCCTGTTTAATTTGTGGGGTCGAGATGTTTTAGAAGCGATGGAAGCAAAACTTACTACTGGAAATTTTGCTTGGCAGATTATGAAAAGACAAGATTACCAAGAAGGAAAAGACTTAGGTAAAAATTTACAGGGAGTACTGGAGCCTATTTCTCCTTCTCCAAAATACGACAAACGAGGTTTAGGATATTTTTCCTAAGGGCCACTGATTCTCTCGATGCCCAGGCTGATCCTATTTGCTGGAAGTCTGATTCCCCAGTTTGGGTAGAGCAATGGTCCTTGTCTCAAAGATTTCTGCCGCTCAAGAGTTGGTTCAGGAACAGCTTGATGCGGGTCATATTCGGCCTACCAACAGTCCCTGGAATTCTATTTTTGTCATTAAAAAACGTTCTGGTAAATGGAGACTATTACAGGACTTAAGGAAAGTTAATGAAACCATGGAAATTATGGGGCCGCTACAACCAGGCTTGCCCTCTTCTGTTGTGCCGCAGGAGTGGCATCTTATAGTTATTGATTTAAAAGACAGCTTTTTCACCATCCCTTTGGCTCCGGCTGATTGCAAACGTTTTGCCTTTAGCGTTCCATCTACCAATTTTGAGAGGCCTTATGATAGATATGAATGGGTCGTTCTCCCACAGGGAATGGCAAATAGTCCTACTTTATGTCAATCCTATGTTGCCAAGGCCATTTACCCAGTACGTCAGGACTTTCCTGATGCTCTGCTATTGCATTATATGGATGCTTTGTTGCTGGCTGCCCCTTCGCAGTCTCTTTTATTTCAGGCATATGAACTCCTAAAATATTGTCTTTTTTTTTTTTTTTTTTTTTGAGACTGAGTTTCGCTCTTGTTACCCAGGCTGGAGTGCAATGGCGCGATCTCGGCTCACCGCAACCTCCGCCTCCTGGGTTCAGGCAATTCTCCTGCCTCAGCCTCCTGAATAGCTGGGATTACAGGCACGCGCCACCATGCCCAGCTAATTTTTTGTATTTTTAGTAGAGACGGGGTTTCACCCTGTTGACCAGGTTGGTCTCGATCTCTCGACCTCGTGATCCACCCGCCTCGGCCTCCCAAAGTGCTGGGATTACAGGCTTGAGCCACCGCGCCCGGCCTAATATTGTCTTAATAGAGCTAATCTTATCATTGCTCCAGACAAGGTTCAAACTGTTACTCCTTACCGTTATCTTGGAAGACTCATTGAGTCTAACCAGGT